TGAACACAGGGGAAACAGTGTCAGAAATCAATACTTCTCTACCATCATTTTTAACCTGCTGAAATGAAGCGTTCATCACAGAAATAAGATACTGTATTACATTTATAAACTAATGAAACTAGAATACGCAAAGCGCATGACACTATAATTAAACAGCTGGAAGACATCCAAGCCTGTGTAAGTTGATAACCCTGGTACAATCTCTGGCAGGGAAAAGGCAAGTCTGCAGTGAGTTGATATGGCCAGCTCAGTTGTTAACTGAATAACAGGCAATCTATAAACACCACTAATTGCGTATGTGAAAACCTGTGTACAAGTAGAGATGCTGCACAGAGAAGCACTCCAGAAAAACTACACGGATAAAGCACTCGGCAAATCTTCTGTCTCTATCGAGTTAAGTCATAGCTTAGTTTCACCACTGCATCCTTCTGATTAACCTCTACACAGCAGACTTAATGACACATTTTTCAAAAGATCATTTTTCTTCCTAATTCAACACGAACTATCAATTACCCATTTCAGAAAAGAACAAACAAGTAATCTAGAAAATTCAGCCTGTGAATGGAAAGCTTTCTAAATTGTAGAAGAAGACATGGTCTTATTCCCAACAGGCAAAATGCTTTTCAGAATTGTTCCAACGCATTTTGCAGAAGTGTGGCAGCTGCTGTGAACAGCATGGAGTGTTAAGATTTGACACTTTTTTTCTCTTAAGGATATAGCCATTTGGGGAGGCTCAGAAGCTGTTGTCAGAATTATACTTATCCATTTAATAAATCCTTTTAGAATGATTATTTCAACCCAGGCTGAATGCAAAACACTTCAAAACTACTGCTCTAGGATCTGAACCAAACTTTTTACTTTTTAGTCTGTGGAGAAAATTGGTTGACCCAGGAGATTAGCTGTAAGATATGAAACCTTCCATAGTTTAACATTCAAATCCAAATAAAGCCAGGGGAGAGTAAAGGTCACTGTCATTCTAGAGGTGTCTAGCAGCTTTCATGAAATGAATTGATAGACTCACTCCCTAGTGGATCACATCATGAAATCCAGAATTACTAAGCAGAGTACTACGCAGTATTTAGAAGGATGTGTCACAGTCAGACTGACTTATACTCAAATGCTAACTAGCTATAGGTCTCAGTTTCTACAACAATTGTGGGAAAAACAAACTTCTTAAGGTTGTTGCAAAGAATCAAATGGATAATATAGGCAATATGCTCACAGCAGAGTGTCGAGCATAAAAAGTGCTGAATGAAAGTTTTAAAAATAAGGCATACAAATGTAAACATTAAAATACGTGTGGTAACAGCATATAATCAAATGACTGAACGGTGCCTGAAGCTTAGTTTCTCTCACACCTTTCATTAGTACAGAAGAGAATATTGGATTTCAACAAAATTCCTTGGAAAAAATACAAACATGAGTATCTTCACTTTTAAGATACAGAATACTTTAGCCGATATGTTATCAAGCTCCAGGGTAAGTCCTCAAATATGAGGACTCTGGTCAACTACAAATGAGAATGAAAACAAACTATAAAGAATCACTGTTAATTAATAATTTTTAAAAGTGTAAGTCTGTAAGTAAGAAAGGTGTGATAGATGGTGCACAGATGGAAATAAACGAAGTCTAAAACAGAGCTATCATCTCTGCTTTTATCTTGGATATCTGCTCCTTGGAAGATTCTTACTCTCAAGATGTCCCCTGGCCATCAGGAGAAAGGCCTGAGCTGTCATGTTTGGGTAACAATTTCAACCACTTCTACCAAACATCAGAATTAACAACAACTTCATCAGTTTCATCAATTCCCTGACAAGCAAAAGGCATGTTAATTGAAAAAGCTTTCATGGGCCAATCAGGTATTGCCAGGTCTTCCTTCTAGTTAGAGGCAGAATAAAAGTGATCCAGTGTCTGTTACAGCCTAAGGCTCGTTTTTTTTTGTACAGATCCCAACATGGGCACACCAGCCTCCTGGAACTCACACCTGCTTCCAGAAATGTCTAGCCACTCAGTAGTGTAAGTGGTTAGATTTCCTGTCCTTGCTGCATTTGAACTTCAAGATTTTGGAAACTGTCAACATAAAGCCCTCTGCTCTTATATTCATTTTACGTTTTGCTCCAAAAAATCTAACCTTCTTAATGACACTTTTAACAAAAATTATACACAGGTAATTGTGAAGTAGGGTTAATTATTAATACATGTACTGAAATAGAATCATACCAAGATACTGAAATGCCTCCTAGATTTTAGAAAGAAAAGATATCAAACTAAAATTTCAATGAAGTTTGAGTATTTTAATATAGCATATTTAATATGACAGTATATATCCAGCTACTTGGGAGGCTGAGGAAGAAGGATGGTGAGTACAAGGCAAGCCTGGGAAACACAGAGAAACCTCATTAATTAAAAAAAAAAGAGAGAGAGAGAAAAGAGAAAGCTCAATGAATATAATCATTATGTATTGCAAACACATACTAATAAAAAATAAAATTAAAAAGCCATGTAGATTTCAATTATATTTATTCAGTACATTTATACTATTGTTGTAGATCTCCAAAGAGACTATTCAGAATGAAATTATATCCATTTTCTTTCTTAGAGTAGAAGCAAGAAGAGTAAACAGTATGGCTTAATCAATTAAACTAAGTAACTTGAACAATTTCTCAAAGCAGTTTGTTTTGTTTGTAAATATATGATCACAAAATGAAAAAAATCCTTTAGGGAAAAAGGATTCATAGCTGCTAGTAAGTTTCATCCAGACTAAAATAGTGTTTGTGTGTCCTTCATTAAAATCAATATTATAAGGTTGCTGACAAAAAGGACAAAGACTATTTTTAAAAATCTAAAACTTGTCCACTTCTAGATTTTCTAACTGCTACTTGTATCAAAAACCCTAAAAGCACCCATAACTAACATTTTAACTCAAAACAATCATGAATAGCACACCAGTTAGATAATAAACTTTGTAGATGAAGAAAGAATCATTACCCTCAAGGAGCTCCAAGTGAGAGTACGTATTAAGACTATTACCTAGAATACATAATGTTGTGATATAATGGCAGTGTGACCAGTGTGACTCCTCAGGAATACAAATGACAGGTGGTTTATGAAGTATAAAAATTTCTGAAGTAAATAAATATCTTGCCAAGATGAGTACTGCCCCAAAGGGCATCCCAGAGCAGGAGGCTTCAGCAAAAACAAGGCATGAATGTTTAAAAGTATATGGCTTGATTTGGAAATGATAATAGAAGAAATAGACCTTAAAATGCATGGAGAGGGAGTAAATATAAACCTGAAAAGACAGTTATGAAAAGCCTTATGTTCAATGCAACAGAGTTTATAATTTTTCCTAAAGTCAGTGAGGGGACACCCAAGGAACATTTTTGTGCAGAAGAGTGACAATGGGTATTGAGTTTCAGAAAGTGAGTTCTCATGGCAGGCTGGATGGGGTATGGATAGAAACCTGGCACTGAGAGGCAATTAGGAGGCCAATGAAATCATCCAAGTAAGAAACGATATGAGTGTGAACCAGGGCACTGAAGGGGGAAGTGATCTCTATGGTTCTCAGAGTGGGTACAGATAGGTATTTGATTGATATGAAAACAAAAGAGACCACCAAAGAAAAGCATTCCATTTCTAGACTGGATGGCTTGGTAGCTGCTGAGGCTGGTAACTAAGATAGGAAATACAGAAGGATAATATTGGGAAACTTCTGGGACTACCCTGGTTAAAAACTTCATTATAGGGCTGGGGATTTAGCTCAGTGGTTTCGCCACCTGCTGTGCAAGCACAAGGACCCAAATTCGATCCCCGGTGCCAAAAAAAACCCAAAAAACTGCATTATACAAGTTCATTGGAAAAGCGTGTTTATGACATCCAAGTTAAAATATCCAGATAAGATTTGGGTAGAAATAAACTTTGGCTTTATGGTATTTTCCACATGGTAATGCACCGCTATGATTTGGACAAAGTTAGTTCTCACAGGTTCACTTGATTAGTTCTCACACTTCACTTGTTCACCACACTGTAACAGTGTCAAAAGGTAGGTCGTGGGACCTTTAAGAGGTAGGCCTCGTGGAAGATGATTATACATGACCTCCCTCATGATTAATGCTAGTCTCATAGAGTGACTTAGGTCTCCCAATCCAGAGAGCAAGCTGTCATAAGGCAGCAAGCCTGGCCCATCCCCAGTCTCTTGCTGCCTCCTTTCTTTCTTCCTCTCCCAATTTCTTTTACAAACTTCTACCATGTGATGCTACTTCTCATGTTGGGTATAGCCAGGAGTCCCTTACCAGAATCCAAATAGATGGGGCAGCCTGATCTTAGATCATCTGCCTCTAAAACTGTGAACTGAATAAACCTCTGGTTCTTTATAAAAGCACCCAGTCTTGGGTATTTTCTTATAACAATATAAACTGCACTAAGCTACGGAGCGTTAAACTTCTTAGACCATAAACCTCTATGTCCTCATTTCTTTGCTTAATTATTTCCTATGGATATCCTATATCTGTGAATCAGACCTCCTCAAACTACAAAACCAAATAGTGATGCAAACATTTCCTACTTCTCTGTTAGAGGAAGTTATGTGTGACACTTCAATCTTACCACTAGCAAAGATCAGAAATGGCCTGCGTGAGTTTCTTGTGGATGCAGAAAGTAGGAAAGAAAACGTAGTTTCTTTACATTGTGTAGTAATTTGGTTTGCATAAATCTAAAAGAAGTGGGCAGCACAAAACAGTGATAGCAGGCCAGGTGTGAAGATGAGTCAGACCAGAGATAAGGTGATTCCAGTGAGAGCTGGAAAGACTTAGGAGATACCAGAAAGGAGAACAAACATGAAAATAATCAAAGTATATTACATGTGTGTACAAATCTGCCAAAATTAAATCCATGTTTAACCAATAAAAACTGTATAATCAGTGAACATAAAGATTAGGAAATAGAAAAAATAAATTTTTACCAAACAATGCAGGGGACAAGGTTAAAGGAATGTTTGTTACCTTCAACATCACAGCTCAGGTAGTTACGCACTTCATTCAAAATGAAGTTGATGTCTTCCTCTGAAGGAATAGGGTGATGTGTAATATCAGTTGGTGAATCGGTAGTGCCAGCAATTGTCATCTTTTGCCAGGGTAAGAAAAAAATAACTCGTCCATCACTGGTGGCTGGGTCAAGAAGTCCCATGCTCTCGGGGCTAAGGTAAAGAGAAATTTAGTTCTGAAATTAACAAAGTTTAATATTAATCTGCACTCAACAAAACTTTTTTTTTTTGGTACTGGGGATCGAACTCGGGATCTACAAAACTACTTTCTTCACTAATGTTCAAATAAGCAAACAAGAAAAAACTACTACTTTACTGCCCCTGCTCTAATCCAGAAATTCCTGAAATAATAATTTTGACCAAAAAAAAGCTACTGTGCAAATGTGATAATAATATTATTATCCAGCAGAACCACCCTCCCCACCTCAACAATGGAAAGCTAATTAACTTCCAATTGTTTTGGTTTTTATACTCCTTGGACCATTCTCATCAGATAATGTCAGGGGAATTAATGCCTATAATTTCTTTTATTGTGGTCATTGAAAGATAGCCCTTCAACCTCTTTTCAAGTCTATGAAAAGTATTTTCCTAGACATTTGACACATCTTTCAGTAGAAGGCCCCAAAAGTACATGAGAAAGTAGAGTTTAACTTTCTAGAAGCTAAAATGTAATCATAAAGTCTTTACTCCTTTGTGCTAAAATGAACTTGTGCCACTTCACCAAATACGGGATTTCTTATCTTATTTCAAGGTTACAGAAATCTCAAGAAGTGTACACAGAAAAAAAAGCTCAGTTTTTTACTACTGCCTAAATAACAATGTCCTAGAACATTTCAAAGAGAAAGGAACATCTTAGTAATGAAAATCTTTTAAACAGAAAACAGTAGTGTATTCTGCTATTAAATGAAGGAGCAAGCTGCCTATCCTGACAGTTATATAAAATCTTCCAAAATATTAGCCAAGAATTTTCACTGACACATAGTGAATAATCTAAAAACCAAAGTATAAAACACACTTGAAAGAATAGGCAACTGTACGTAAACATTAACAAAAGCTGTCATATTTATCACTAGAAACTGTTGTTTTAATGCAGTCATTAGCTATTGAAAGAAATGTGGAGATATTAAAGGGATAGGAGGAATCCAAAAGTGTCATATTTAATCAAATAGAACACAACAAATCAGATAGCTGTTTCAATTTGACTGAATTCACATATAAATGCCAACTTGAAAGTACTTTGCATAATATTTTTAGCTTCTATTAATACAATTTCTTAAACAGAAAACATTCTATTTGGTTTGAACAAATTTCAAGAAATCCCTCTCACACACACAAATTTGAAAGAGCATAGAGGAGTTAGGCATGGCAGTGCATGCCTATAATCACAGCACTTGGGAGGCTGAGGCAGGAGAACTGTGAATTCAAGGCCAGCCTGGGCTATAGAGCAAGTTCAAGCCCAACCTAGACTACTTACCAAGATCTAGTCTACAACCCCCCCCAAAAATAAGTAAATAAATACATAATAGAAGGTCATACAGTCAACTTTTTATGATTATTATTCCCTTAAAATTTTTAAAGATGTATTCAAATAAGTAAGGATAAGAGAGGTTCACAACTTTTTAAAACCAAACCCAAAGAAAGTATCTTTATATAAAAAAGAAAACTACAGTCAGCTTAGCTAATGCATCTCCTTTATTTAAACCGTAAGGAATACTACGTAGTCTTTCTCTGCAAGGAAGCCTCAGTCACATGAAGTGCCTGTCATGGTCTCTCCGCCTTTGCAGAAAGAAATCACTGCCCGTTCCCTACCAGAGACACAGGAGAGGGCACAGCACTTTGCAAACCTAAAAAAGCACCATAGAAACATGCCAACCACTCAGACCTGCAGCAGAGATTCCAACCTTCACTGGGGGTTACTTAGAGAAAACTACTTCTACTCTAATACACTGGAAACTAGGAGGGTTGAGTATTTTTGGTCTCTAAATATGTCAGTAAGCATTTTTCTCTGCATTTGTCACAAAACTCTAAAAATCTTAAAATAGTTAATCAGTTAATTGTAAGTTTTATAAGTGTTTTTGTTTTGTTTTGTTTTTGCAGTGATAGAGATTGAACACACAGGAACTCTACCACTGTGCTACATCTCCAGCTGTCTGTATTTTGACTAAGTAGCCCTGGATGGGCTCAAACTTGCAGTCTTCCTGCCTCAGGCTGCCTCCATGCTGGGATTGTGGGTATGCAGCAACACATGTGGCTGTAAGAATATTTTTATTCCAAAATGATATGCCCTTAGATTAAATCAGTCACATTAGAATTGGAAATTAATGCATTCAGAGTTCAAGCATTCAATCTGATATACAGTATTTTATTGAAACAAAATTCCATATCCTAACATTTGGGAAATTGTATGCTGACACATTTCATATACAACTATTCTCATGGACCAAATACACACTCCTTAAATAATAAACCTGATAAATTAAGCATCAAATTATAATATTCAGCAACCTAGATAGGAAATATAGTTAGACATGCACACTTAGTAAATGCTTTAAAAACTTGCAATGCAATAAAAGCAGTTTTAAAGGGTGAAGGTGATAGTTACCAACGTACACATAACTGGAGCCTGTAGAGAATCAACTGCTTAAGTGAAGACATATGTGTCAAACATAAAATTAACAAGCACAAAGGGAAAACAAAGCTATTAATGAATGGTATAAAATTTTAAGAATCCACTTGGAAATATCTTTCATCAGTTCTAAATTACCTAATTCATACTCTCCCTTAAGGAAGAGTTTGTTTTCTTATAAAGGATTAATTCTGCAAGGTCACACCAAAGTTTGACTGTGGATATCAACTACGGTGATGGCTTGTACAATGCAGTGCAGCACAGGTCTCTTCAATCCATATGATTCATGTGACATTGGGAAGAAATGCTTGCTAATTTATGTGTGTGTCTAGGATTAAAGGTAATGAGCTTTTTTCTCATGCAGACCATTGCTTTCCTGAAGTACCCTTAGTTAAACTGAAATCAATTTATTGTTAACTACTTAGCAATCAGCATTAGAGCTAATAGTATGAACACACATTATAGGAAAAAAATTGACCTCTTGTCAGTAGTAAAAAGCATCAGTACACTAGATGGAGCAGATGATTATTTTCATGTATTTCAGTCACTTGCTGTATTATTGCTGCTTTTGGAAGAGCATCTAGCCACAACTCTGATGGAAATTTCAGATTTGTTCTTAATATAAACTGAAAAATGGCTTTAAAAAATTATTTGTTTGTTGGGTTTTCTAACATTAAAATAATTCTTCTTGCCTTAACAAAATAGACATTTGTACAAATTTTAAAAAAAAACACTTTTTTGTAAGAAATTGGAAAGAAGGGGTTACTGATCACCAGAAAACAACTGGGGAAATGTGTGTGGAGAAAAGGGAGACTTTCACTATCATTCTCTCTATTTTTCCATAGTGTTAGAATTCTCTGATCTTGCACTTATATTATTTTTACTTATTTATTTTTGCCTACAAGCATTATCTGAGCATAGGATGGAAAATTGCATTTTGCTTTCTCTGTATTTTAAATTCTCAATATTTTTTTTAAAAATTCTTTACAAATGTTGTGTTGTCCACCTTTCCATCACTTAAAAAAAAAATCAACTTGTCTATAATCCCAGCACTTGGGAGGCTGAGGCAGAAGGATCACCACGAGTTCAAGGCCAGCCAGGGCTACAGAGTGAGTTTGAGGCCAGCCTGAACTACATAGGGAGACTCTGTCCCACCAAAAAAAAAAAAAAAAAAAACAACTTGTAAAGAGAAAAGGTTTATTTTGGCTCACAGTTTTGATGTTTCCAGGCCATGATCAGTTGGCCCTGGTGCTTAAGGTGAGGTAGCACAAGCAAGTAGCCAGCAAAACAACTCGCCTCATGGCCAGGACTGGAAATAGAGTGAGAGGAAAAGATCAAGGTCCCACAACCCCTTCAAAGACACCCCCACCCCAACCAGAAGCCCTTCTCTTAGGCCACCTCTTAAGTTTCTGCCCCCTCCAAATAGCACCACACTGGGGACCAGGCCTTTAGCACATGGGCCTTTGGGGACATTCCAAATCCAAACTGAACAAGTATTATATTAATACTTTAGTATACAAAGAAAGCAACTGCTCAACTTGGCAGGTTAATACAATAAAGCTAGTAAGATTTATTCAAAAAATATTTATTATAGGGCTGAATTTATTAGGTTTTATGCCTTATATGCTAGAAACTATACTGAGACCCGAGGATAAAGCATTAATAAAACAAATAAAAAATAACCAAATATCACCATCAAACTTTATACAGCTTAGGTGCTTTATGAGATAATGGATCAGAACCTGAAAGAAGTAACTTGCCCAAGGATACACAGTAATGGCAAACCATTTAGAGACCGAGTGCCCAAACTACAACCCAAAAGCTGCTTATTTATCACAAAGTGCCTACACTGCAAATACTAAGATTTTAGTTTAGAAAAAAACAACTGCAATCTGCTTGGCTTCTGGATGACTTGGCTCGCATGCTGACAGAGAGAGCGCTGCAGGCCCGCTGCGGCACATGTAGCATAGGTTCACCACCAATCTATACACCAAGGTATCAACCTAACTCACCCTCCATACTGTCCCCTGTCTACGTACTCTGAAAACCCAGAATGTTTTCCAATTTTAATGATGGTCAAATTAAGGTTCAAAAAATAAAAATGGTTTATCCCAAAGGATGTAATTATTAGGTGTCCTCTGATATCATGGGACAGTAGTGAAGAAAACCTAAGACACATAATAAACATGAAAACGTGTAGAATCCAGTAAAATCCAATCAAATATGGGGATCATGGTCATTATTCTCTGTACTCTGATTTTCAAGATGTTAAAAATTAAAGAAACCTTCATAAACTAGCCTTGAATTTTTTTTTTTTTTTTTGGTATGCAGGATCAAACTTGGGACCCCGGTCCAGCCTTGAATATTTTTTTAAACCAACACAAAATAACTGTACACAACTGTGTTTGGAATTAATGTTGAAGAATTCACCATATACAAGAAACATATGGAACATTTATATGTATTACCTCCTCCATGTTTGAACGAAACTGATAATACTTTTTAAAACTCAATGAGGTACCAATACAAACATTTTTACAAATTTATAAATTTTTATAAAGGTATACAGGTACGCTGGTGTTTCCAGGCCAAAGGAAAAATATTAAGGACTACCTGTTGCATGTGGACATTTAGAAAATGAAAAGGAAACTTTGAAATTCTCTATAATATACTAGCAGTGTAAATGGCACAAACTGAGTGCATGTTGGACTCTGTTCAGGAAAATTTAGTATCCAAATACCATTCACCTGTGACACAGCAGGATAACATGCTAGAAGAATACAGATGTTAAAATAAGTTAGCTTCTGTAAATCTATTTTGTCAAATATTAAAAGGCTTATAGGTCCTTTATGAAAAAATATTAAAATATGAAGGAAATACTTCTTACCCATAATCACATCACCTACTGATAATCACCATTAACATTTAACATATTTCCAAGTCTTTTTCTATATATCAGAAAATACAGAGGAATATATACCGTTTTGGTCCTATTGTATACATTATCTCTAGTCCTGCATGTTAAACTAAGATACCATTAGCGTTTTCCTAGGACACTACATTTATTTGTAATTCTTAACAGGTGTGGTGGCATATGACTATAATCCCAGCACTCAAGGGCCTGAAGCAGGAAGACTGCCACACAGTGAGATCAAGGCCAGGCTAAACTGCTTAACAAGACCTTATCTCAAAAAAAAACTATAATTCTTAATGACTACATAATATTCTTTAATGTGGATATATTGTAATTTATTTATTCTCTCAAGGTGAATAAGAGAAGTAGTTTCTAATCTTCGCCAGCAAATAATGTCATATTGAATAGCTTTTTTATGTTACTACTCTATGTAGAATTGCTAGTTTGCCTACTAGATTGTCATATGTGGAAGAACAAACAGTATATATACATTCATACAGAATTTTTCTACAGATGCCTTGAAATATACATTAGCCAGAATCATTATTAGTAATTTGGCAAGAAACATGTTTCTTTTTTAATTTATGAAAAATTTCAAACATATACAAAGTAGTAAGACCTTCCATGTACCAATTACTCATTGCACATCTTAAATGATTTTCAGTTAATAAGCATTATTATCTCTACCCCTATTCATTTCTCCATCCCCACTTATCTTTGTTAATCTGATACACTGGAAATTACATCTGCTTTTAACTTACTATATTTAAAAACATATATAACCCAAAGATATAACCAAAGATATAACCCCAAGAATACTGGAATAGCCCACATTTTCATATTATTCATAAGCAAATTCAAGAATTTTGCAAAATTAATTTTAATGTCTTAATTACAAGATAGCCTTCATGGGAAATTCTGCAAGATTAATTTTCATTGTTTTATTCAAAGTATAATTCAAAAATATTAATACTTAAGTCTCAAAGTTGACTACACTGGACAAAATACAGTGTGGAAAATAGATCCCAAATCATCCCTTCGAAACAAGTTCAGCTGCCAAGTAGCTAAGAAATTCTCAGGCCTGGTTTATATTTTGCTGTGGAAGAGCTTCTTTCCTTATTTCTCCTCATTGTGAACAGCATTTAGACCATATTATTAAGAAGGGTGTGCAAGAAGAAATTAAATGCATAGACAATTGCTTGTGTCCCCTTTTTCAGGTGCTGGCCAGTAAAATGGAATCCAGTTACCTGTAATAACCAGGCATCACAATATGGACTCCCGCACTGGGCTGGCAGATAGCTGCAGCACTCTTATCATCCATTTTGCGAACTGCATCTGTGAAAGGTCCCGTAGCATTGATAACACATTTTGCTCTCACATCAAATTCCTGCCCTGTGAAAGAAAGCAGCATCAATCATACACCCCATTTGTTTCTCTGCTCACTGAGGCTGTGGATTATTAATTCATCTATTAACTTAACCTATGGCAAAGTATATTGCATACTACACTAAGGGACCTAAGCAGCCAGAGTTACTGAAGAGCCAAACAAAAAGGCTGACTCCTGAGTAAATTTACCCAAACAAGTCCAAATTAAAGGAAAAAAGCACACTACTTTCCCACTCTGTTTCTCAGTGTGTTTATGAAGTGCCCAGAATCAAGGTGCCAAACACAGAGAAAGAGAAATGAGTAAATAAGCCACTTCCTCCTTAAAACTCACATGTGTAAACAGCATCGCTGTGAGACAATGTATTTCCCAGGGCTGCTTTTGTTCAAAAATGCTGCAATTTTCCAACTACCTTCATGGCCCCAGAACCTGGGCAAAAATGAAAATCTAACCAGAGTTAAAGGTGATTGACTTTAGTGATCTATAAATGCACTGCCTGTGTCACCTAAGTGATACTTTGAAACTTGGCACATTTATTTAATTTTATTAATAATATGTTTTTGTAAAGAAACTGGAATGCATTCATAGCTGTGGGAATTTTTGTGGGCATTTATTATTATCATTACCATTATTATTATTTAACACAAAGGGGAAAAATTGCCAAGTCCCACAAAGGAAAATTTTCACGTTAAACCAGTCATTGTTGACAATAAAGAATATAATTAATGTGACTCTGAAGTCTGGCCTAAATCAAAGAAAAGTGACACAAAAATTATAATTTAGTCATTACACAAGCAAGGCCAAATGCTAGGAAATAGCTCCCTCCCGAAGACGTGGCCTACCTGTGAGGACATCTTTGCACCGGGCCCCGCTCACATGCTCTCTGCCCGTCTCAGGGTCTGTCTTCTTGAGCAAGCTCACCACCTCCATGTAATTGGCTGTGGCAGCCCCATACCTGGCAGCAGTGAGGGCAACGGCAAGGTTCATCCGTGCATCATTGTGTTGTCCTGCAGCAGGGAAAAGCACCAGGGGACGGACAGGAGTCACCTCGAGCCCCAGACTGGTGGCACAGAAGTGTGTCACAAGAGATATGTCACATCTGTCCGCCACCCAGAATATACATGATGGCTGGGCAGCTCTACAAGGCGTGATTTGAAAATACATGGTCATCCTCAGTCAGGCATTTACCTACCACTTCACCAAGTACATTTTGTGTGCCACAAAAACAGAGGAAAATATCCCTTTTCTAAGAAGCTGACATCAATTATCTGAAAGTTACGGAATAAGTAATTATTCCCTCCATGTGGGAACATATGTATATATCAGGCTTTTCCTAATACAGAAAAACCATAAGCATGAAAGTAAAGCAATTCAAAACTTCGGAATATTTGACACCCCAACTGGTGTTGATGAACAATTTTTATGAATATGTGCTCTATCTAATATTCAAAATCAAGAGCTTAATCTTCCATGGAGAATGTCTCTATATTCCATAAAAGGATTTTTCTTGGTTTGAATTTTGATCAGAGCTCCTTAAAATGTAACATTTTTTAATCGCACATAAAAGGTAAGAAATTAAGCAGGGCAAAATTTAATTACAGAACAATTCCTACCTGTATTGTTAAAGATTTATTGCTGAAAAATCCTAGTTAAAGAAAACCAAGGGGGAGGTGAGGGGGGAAAGATGATTAATCACTTTAAAATACTGGCATCACTGGAGACTTTTTCTATTTATTATTGCCAGTGGAGTTAACGCTGACCAGGAAGAATTACTCTACATTGCTGGGGCCAGGTTCTCTGTGCCCTGAATAATTAATTATCCAGGGCTAGATGTATTGAAGCAGAGTTCAAATTCCCACACATTGGGACTGGTTCTATCAAGATAATACTGATAAAGGGATGAATTTGTAATGGATATTGTTGTTGATTTATGTTGCCAGCATACCAAACATTGAGTATAAATGGTTTATGTAAAGTTTCTTCTTTGTGATTCAGTCTGTACAGGGCTAGAAGCACTACACAAGTAATCTGTTCCAGCTAAAAGGGCAGAGTTATAAAGATAGAATCAATGACTAAAGATCCAGTCGCCCCTCCCACAAACATCTTATTCTAAAACTGCTGAACTAATACAATCTTAGCCAAGAACCTTTTCCCCAAAATTATAAGCACTATCAAGGGTAACATTCCTGAAATCTCAGTATGCAAAATTTTTACTATTTTGGGGATATCATACCCAAAAAGTTATCATGTATTAGCCCAAAATATATTTTCCTGCAGTTTCTTATACAATTAATAGATTGAAAGCAGGAGAAGAAAACAACAATGACAATGGAAGTAGTTGAGCAATACATGGGAAGAAAGGATAGCAATTCTATCAGTTTCTCACCTTAGTCCTAGGATTGCTTAAAATAGTAGTTGCATTCAAAGTTAAATTTAAGAAAACAACTTTTATTAATACAGAGCTCCTATCTAAAAGTGATTTTATGGGAGTTAACGTTTAGTCCAGTGATAAGGCATGTGCCTAGCCTGTGTAAGACCCTAAATCCCTAGCAAATGAATGTGTGCACATGCACGCACATACACACATACATACACACACACACACACACACACACACACACACATTTTAAAAAACAACTGAAATATGCTCCACAAAGTCAGATGCACACAGCCCAAAGAAACTAAATAAAAATTTCACTCCAAATTTTCTTTTCAGCCTAAGGAGATCCACAATCCTCATCCCACCCAATCTTTCTGGTAGATGTTTATATATAACGATAAAACATCCTATTCACCAAAGGAAAGCACAGTACAGGGAACTTCCCGCATTCAGGTGTGTTGATTTATAGACAGGACAAGTTTCTGAAAAGCTATGTGTAAATAAATTATTTTCAATCCTAAATGAGGTCACTATTCCAAGCAACCAGGCAGAAATCCCACTTGTTAAATGACAAATTTCTTTATAAAATGATATATCCATTATAAACTCTAAGCTAAATTTGAAAATATAAAAATTTAATACATTTTAAAAATCTAAAATCTCAGCATATCAGTCTGTCATACTTGTATAGCTTATATCAAAGTATCAATATAGTTTATCAGACTCTGTTGCTTCCATACTAGGAAACATTTCCCTAATTATCTTCTAAATTTCTCTACAATCTAAGGTAAAGAAGATCAACTTCAGTGCTCCTTGTTTTTCCACATTCCACCCCCAGTGCCCAGCACTACCTGTCTTGAGCTAATCAGGAGTGTTACTGACTGACAGAGGCCCTTTATGACAATATACTCATCTGTCAACATTCTTGTCACATTATTCCTACTATCTAAGACTGGCAAATTATTTGCAACTCTCGAAACATTCAAGCCATTTCACACCTTCTTGCCTTTATCCACACTTCTGGCTGGGTACCATCCTGGAAGCTCTGGAAAACCACTGTTCATCCCTTATGATCTGGTTCAAGTACCTGCCCAGGAAGTCTCCCCTTATCTGTATCCTGTCCCCTCCAAGGCAAAACTGTTCACTCCTCTTCCTGGATCAATTTTATACCTTGCAGGTACCCTTTTAATAGTCTTCCCAATACTACATGCATCCACACATCCATCTACTCACAGAAACAAGAGTCAGTCTCTTCTCTCTCTCCCTCTTTTTCTCTCTCCCCCCTCCCTCCCTCTCTCCTTCTCTCCTCTCTCTCTTTCTCCCTCTCTCCTTCCCCTTCTTTCTCTCCCCACCCCTTTCTCTCCTTCCCCCTCTCCCTTCCTTCCCTTTCTCATTAGTACCAATCCCAGAATAGGTTTCCATTAAGTGTTAAAATGTTAAATTTAGCCAAATTCATTTGAAATGTTAAATAAACAGTTATCAAATATCTTATCTCTATGGATTGAAATGTCTTATTTCTCACTAAAACAAAAAAATTCAGATATCAGTAAGTTGGTTGCAAGACATTTGAGGGGCACAGGAAAAATTAGAAACGTAAAATTTTAGAAAAACATAAAATCTGAACTTAACCCTAAACTAGTCTTTATATTTAAATTAAATAAATAAGAAGGCAAGGAGAAACGGTTATGTATGGCTTCTTCAGGACTTTTCCCACATGTTGCCCCTTGCTCTGCAGAATTCAAAAGTAGTTACTGATAGCTTCTAAAAACCAAGGAGCAAGTAATTTTTTCCATTAAGTCCAAGAGCTCACACCTCCACCCAACAACCCTCTTCTTTTTTGCCTTAATCCACTGACTTCCCTGGATCCAGAACAAACCTACTCCTCCCTCCCCACATTAAACTTGCCCTTCGCCCTGAGACACCTGGATGCTTGCAGTGTATACTTCCTGAGTTATAAGTGACATATTTTCATTATTCTTCACTAAATTTTCCCAACCATCTTTCCTGGCATTTTCTAAAGCATCTCAATGCCTCCTGTAATTTCATTTCTGAAGGAAAAAAAGATTTTGACAACACTGCATGTCATTGGAATGATACAATAATCTCAAATCCCCACTCAATTGATCTGCTTTGAAGTTTAGATTTTCAAATCCGTTTCCCTAGAGCCAGGCAACATTATACTGTGTTTCACTCTTCAGCGAGTAGCTTTACATTGGCACTTACACAAGGACCCAGACGGCGACTGTGAAAATCTGTTTCCTGCTCTGTTCTAGTTTGCACTTGAAATCTTACATATGTGCACATACTGAGCTCACAGCGCATAGGGAAGGAAGCACATAAGAGGTGGAACTATAACTGTTTTCTCTTGTTTAGAAAAACAAAATATAAAATCTACCCACCAAAAAGGATAAAGTTGGTGGTGGGAGAGAAGATTTTATCTTAACTCTCAGTGGTCTTGCACACCAAATAGCGGGAGGTATGTTAGGTGAAATATGGGTGACCACGCACATTTTAGGGTGTCATCATCTAAGAGATAGACCTTACATTTAAATATTTTAGAGATATAGCAATACTGCTCTCCTCAGAGTCAAAGTTTGGCAACTAAGTTAACATGCAAAATAGCTGAAAAAAGAAAAACAATTATTGAGTATGTGAAGGATATGAAGAGTAAATGTGAAAAAAAAAAAAGAAACAGGGAGCAAATTAGTTGGCATTTTCCTGTTCCTGCGGGTCTAAAATTGTGCTGTTGTGAAAATCTACACACAATCTTCCTTTGAATGTAACACACTTCTAAGTGGCCCTTTATTGTGTGCAGGTCTGTACGTGCACTGACCTGTGTGTCTGATATCTATCTTTCAGTTTAGAATGTCTACTTGTTAGAAAAATAATTTTTCATTAAAATAACACCTGCATATAATTTTATCACCAATGCAAACTGCCACTGTTTGGAATATTTCTTTCTGTCTCCCTGTGCCCTGACCTGGGGACTGTGAGATCACTTTGACTACTTCTAGGAAGAAGGGGAAGGAGGGTTGCAAGCAAGAATATCTCCCCAAAGCTTTAATCCCATTTCTAACAAAATCCACAGAGCATGCTTCATTGTCTCAGACTGATAGTGTCACAATGACCTCTCTGACAGCTCCCCCTTTGCAGTCTGCCAAACTCAGACTCGTTTAAAATAACTATTACATTTAAAATTTCTCTTCTGATGGGTTGTGTGCAGGCAGAGCCACGGCAAAAAAGGTGTGTTCATACACATGTGCGTGTAAGGGGACTATTAAATTCTGCTTTGGATATCTGTGATGAGTAAGTTTAAAAGAGAAAACTTAAAATAAGAACATAGTCTTCATAGCAATTTATGGCAATATACAATATCCAAAACTAAATCTGATCTAAAAGTACTGACTGTGTATAAGGACTGGCAGGGGTCAGGAAAGTGAATGCAGCCACGTGGAGAGAACTTGTACCCATAGGCAATGGTGCAGAGTGGCTCTGGGCCTCTGTGTCCTACAAAAGACAGGAGCTTGGTATCTATGAAATCACACAGGGCATATAACTGGCTATGTAACAGCCAATCTTTAATAGTTGTCTATGCCTTTCAAGATGTCACTTCTACATTTTTCCCAT